ATTTAATATGAAGTTATATTAAGAAAATTTTTTTCAAACAAATAAATTTGCCACATTGTTCGTTGTCAATGATTTCAGTCCATCAATCTAAAGTTGATTAGAATATCAGTTTTTAAATATTTAACGGTGCAAAGTTACATCATTAACATGTTGATAAAATAATACTAATGATAAGATAAGGTAATATTGATTGAGAAGGTAATATTGATTGAGAAGGTAATAATTAAAAGTGATGGTATTCATGAAAGGTAATGCTAATGATAAGATAAGGTAACATTGGTTGATAAGGTAATATTAAAAGTGATCATATTCATGGACAGCTAAATATCAATCATTGAATGAAACGCAGAAAATGGAATCAAATACAGAAATGAAAACAAAATTGCCATCTCATATGACCGATTATGTAAGTTTGGCAGTTATCAGAAATAAAACAACAAATTTCTATCCCATCATTACTATATTTGATTATTTTAATTATTAAAAAAGTTTTCCTGTTACTTATTTGAATTGCCGACTAATAATGAACAGAATTATATTTGTCAAATAATATTATCGATAAAATAACAAAATTCAATTTCATTATTGCTATATTTAATTTTCATTTACCCATTCAATATGATCGTTTAAATGTTTATCATTTATTTGAATTCCTGGCTGAAAATGAACAGAATTAAATTTTTAATAAAAAATAGTTTTTTTTTTTTGCTCTAGAATTGCTCTTTTTCGATTATTAATTCATTTAGTTAAATGTTCTTTGTTTTTTCAAGTAATAACTTATTTTATCACTTTTCACCCTTTACATTTTATTCACTTTTTAATTAATTTGCTTACGATAGAAATAATCTTACTTTTGTTTGATATAAGTTACAATCAGCTAACACACATAAACTGCTAGCTAATTGTAATTTACGGTAATTTGTGTAAGAAACAATTGGAAATTTTCTGCGTAGACATGCACGTAATAATGCTAATCGAAGCTAATTATTATATTTTTTCAAATAAAGAAATCAAATCATTATGTTCTTTTTTTTTTCATTATTAAAATTTTTTTTTTTTTTGAATAAAGAAATTACATTAACAGCATGCAATATGAAAATGAAAAAAAAAAAACGAAAATAAAATGCTTATATGCAATACAATTTATTATTCCATCATATATTAAATAATGTGAAAGATTTTACAAATTTTCAATATTCTTCATTTTTTTTTTTTTAAAGCTAAATTTATGATGCATATTTTAATATAACGATTTTTTAAATATTTTCATTATCATTTCGTTCCATTTCACTTCATTTTAATTTCATTCATTCCGATACTTTTTTTTTTGCTATTTCAGCACTTTGGTTTGTTACAACAAACAAAATCAAATCAAACTAATCTGCAAAGTTCGTTTTTGTTGTGTCAAATTTTTAATAATTTGAACAAACGGAATGATTTACAATAGACGGTAAATCCTATAAAACACGTTTCTGAAAAGTGATCATAACTCTGAAAAAATATTTGTGCTACATCGAATAATCGAAAATGAGCAAATAATTCTGGTAGCAAAGAAAAAAAAAAAAACTGAAAATTATGAGAAATACGGAAAAGATGAAGAATGTTTTAAGTATCATCAAATTCATCGACGTGGATTATCGTTTTAACATGTGTGATGGCTATTGTCGCTCTCATTATATTTCTCTTATTTACACGAAAACAAAAATGGATTTTATCGTTTGTTAAAAATTTTAATTTAATTTTTTTCCTAAAATTAATTAATTTCATTGTTTTTTTTCTCCCGAATTTTATATGCTAATTAAATGCCGAAGAAGGCTTTTGGCAAAAATAACATTGAAAGAATTATTTGAAATTAGGTTCCATTATAATTTTCTATTTTTTTTTTTGAAATCGATATTTTGATACTACTCTATCGGAATCCCTTTACTTATAATTTGTAAAATTTAATTTAGAAAATCGAAAACAAAAAAAAATACATAATATGAATAGCACGATTTTTAAGCATGAACTTTAAATATGAGGTAAAAAAAAAATTTAAGTTTAATTGAAAACAAAGAGATACTACATAGTATAAATAGTACGATTTTTAAATAACAAATTTAATTTGTTGCTAAATGTACTGATAAACTTTTTAATTTTTTTGTATTTTCTTTCTTCTTTTTCTTTTTTGAAAGTTAGTTTTTTTTAGAAAGATAACTGGAAAAAAAGAAAAAAAAGCATTCACAAATGATGATTCCAAGGTTGTTCTTCTTTCCCTTATTTTCTTTCGTAGATTTTTCTTTTTTTGAGAGAGAGAGAGAGAGAGAGAGAGATAAAGTTGAAAATTTTTTTGCAAAGATCACTTCATAAATTGTAAAAATTAAATATTTAATATGAAAGAGAAGGAAGGAAAAAAATTATGAGAAAAAATTTCAAATTTACTATAAAATTGAATTGAATATAATTTAGGCTGATTATCCGATTTCATTTAACAACAACACGTTGGATGGATCAGCAATGACGAGTCAAACTACATCAAGCAATTCATGGAAAAATGCTAAAAAAGAAGGCTCGATAGAAATTGTTAATGATAGGCTAACCGCTGAAGATTTAAGTTCTGTGATCGGTTTAATGGCTTATGGCAGTCTGCTGAAGGATATTGATAAAAACGTCAGGAGAAGGTATGGTAAAGAGATAAAAATTTCATAAGTTTTGATCTGTTTACATTTGATTAATTAAATACCCCAATTTCTTTTTTTTTTCATTCAGTTTTGGAAATGATTTAAAATTCTTTAAATTTTATTAATGGTTCATTTTACAAACTACGAAAGCATTAATGAGTTTGGAATTATGTTCGAATGACTTAACACTTATAAAAATTTTAATTGATAATATGTTAAAATGAATTGGATTATAAAAAAAAAAAAAAAAGAGGATTATCTGTGTAGTGATTTATTAAAATTTTTATCAAGAAATTTGTTACAATTTGTTGAAAAAAATGTTGAATTTAATTTTATCAAAATGCTATCAAAGATATATTTTGCTGGCTTATTCCTATTGGAAAATAAGCATAAATAATTCTGATTATTTCCAATGATTATTACTTTTTTAGAGGTTCCCGAAAATATGCTGGTCGTTCAGTTACTGATTTCAATTTGCCATTATCAGCATCATCATCCTCATCATCATCAAGAATTTCTATCAATTATAGCAAGAATACCCGGAGAATCATGGAAAAGATTGTGAAAAATCAAGCTAACAATATGAATAATAGCCTTAGTGAGAGAGAAATTCAAGAGTGTTCGGAAAATTTCACTTATAAAAGCACTAATGACGATGATCATTCGAATTCATCTGTGTGCAGTAGTCTAACAACTCTAAATGATACCGCTAATCGAAATCGAAAGCGAAAGGTCAAATGGAAAAATCATAAGGTTCAGTGTTTACACTTCAAACTTGACGTATTTGCAAATGATAAAATTGCAATTATAATTTCCATTGTTCTCTTCTTCTACAAGAGATTTGATTTTATATATCCTCAGGAAATTTTAGAGTTAAATTTCAACATTTCAAATATGGTAACATTGAAAATTGTAATGACAGGATTCGGTTAGAAATAGTTTGAAAAAAGTCCAAGAAGAATTTTTTGAAAATTGAAAGAATTATGAATTAAAATTAATTTTTACATTACTTCTGTTCAGCGCAGACTAAATGATCGTTTATTTTTTAATTATCAAAATTAGAGATTCTAAAATTTTTTTTTTCCGAAATTTCAATTTTCTATTTTAAAATGTTATTTTATATATGAAATGTTGCATAACAATGGAAGATTGTAAAATGGAAAATAATGTAAATTACTAGTGATTTAATAAATGAAAGATTTCGTGATCTTTTGCAGAATGATCGAAAGAATGATAGGATAGTAAGAAGAGATGCTATAACGGATAATGATCAATTATTTTCATGTGTATCCGTGTCAAATACTAAAAGTTCAACAAAAAGTTATCATTCCTCTGAAGGAACAACAACAAACATAATTGCGTATGCATTTATGCAATCATTTATCATTCATTTTGAAATTAGAAAATAAAGTTTTTAATTTATCATTTTCACGGAAAATTCAAAGACAATCATTTCTCGTTTCTTTGCAAAGGCATTTCTACAATTCATTGTTATATTCAATTATTTTATACGCAATGAATGACTAATTTGCGTTCCTAATAAAAGCATGCAAGTTGATTAAATTATAAGTTGATTAAGCACTGGATGCTTGAGAATTAAAATTTCCAATTTTAATTTACTTCCAAGTATTAATTGATCCATTGATCCATTTTTGTTTAATCTAAAAATTTTGAAAGAAATGTTTTGTAGAGGAGAAATTACACCTGATGATGATGAATCAATGAGAAGCACAATTGCTAACAATTCTTCATTAGCACGAAAGCTTATTCATACTTGGATCAGAAAAAATGATGATAAGAAGGGCATGAATGATAGCTATGATAGCACTCAGCAAAATTTGACCATGCAACAGAATTCCGTTTCACGAGCATTTTCAAGCCACCAATCGAATTCTGCTTTACGGGCATTTCCTGAATGTCAATTGGATTCCATTTCACGAGATCGTAAACAATCTTCGTCATCATCCGCTGAAACAATTAATTCTTTTTCGAATGAAAATATGGGACAAAAGTAAGTTAATCGTTATTTGTTTATTAATTATAAATGCGAACTGAATTGTACGGACGCGTATTTGCAATTAAATTTCAGTGGAATTTTTCTTCAGTATCTTTACAATTGCCTTAATTTAAACTTCCTTTTTCATTCATTAATCTCTTTTTGTTCTGAATGATTTGAAATAAAGCATGGACAAGAATGTTAATTTTTCAATTTACATGTTTGAAAAGGGAATGATGTAAAGCCATTGAGTGATTTCAAATAATTGACTGAGTTATTCACAAATAAATGCTTCCACTCTTTGTGCTAGCTTAATCATTTGTTTTTTTCTTTTTTTTTTTGTAAATTATATTAATTTTAATATTCAGGCAGGAAAATGCACATAAGTCAGAAACATAATTTTGAAATTTGAAATTGTTGCTGTAATTGACACATATTTGCAGCAAATATCCATATGCAAATTCGATACATTCATCTGACTTCGAAATACCTTCTTACCTGAATACCATTCCAATATCATCTTACAAGTACGATGATGCTTACTGCAATGTTGTCAAATTTCCTTAATCAAAACTTTATTACTTTAATATCAAATCATCATAAAGATTCGAAATCAAAGTGAACACAAAAGAATGTTACATGGTTGAATATTTTTTCTTTATCGTGAAACTTTTTGAAAAATCAAAAATTGCAAATTGGTATTGAAAAAGAATTCAATTTTTTTTTTTAAAAAATCTTTTAAACTTATCTATTTATCTTGCTAACTAAAAAATTCGTCCATTTAAAAGCAAGCAAAGCTGACTATTGATATTCAGAATTAATGAATTTTTAAATAATCTGAAATTATCTTTAATAATATTTTCTTGCAGCCAACAATTGACCTATGAAGCACCACAATTAACCGATGATATCAGGAGATGGACACCATCAGAATCAGAAAGAATGAACAGCACACAAACTAATATAAGTAGCAATAGAAACTATTCGGAATCCACAAGAAACTTTAGAATTCTATCGAATAGCATGAAAATTAATGATAGGATCCATTCAGGATCAATACAAAGCATTAGAATTCCATCAACATATCAGTTAGAAAACATACCAAAATTTTCACAACTGAATAACGTTGACTACTTTACGTCGGAATCATTTTACCAAGGTAGAGAACAAATTTGTCATCAATCGGGAAAATACACATCGATTCTCTCAACGATTCCGTTGAAAACTGAAACATACACTGCATCAGAAGGATCCAGAAGATGTAGCACTGATTATGAGCCATCCTTACCGTATACATCTGCTAAAAATCAACAAATCATAGATTGTTGCACTAATTTCGAACAATCCATCGAATCCCATTCAACAACGGATGTACAGCATAGCCATCCAGAATTGTCGAAAATTACATCAATAAGCAGTGAATTAAGTGCAATTTCAAACTGTTCAAATTCGGGAAAAGAGCTAAAACTCTTAGATGAAAAAGTGGAAGAAATGGAGCAATCAAGCTCAGTAGAAGAAGGATTGAAAATGAAAATGAACATAACACTAATGCCACAACGATATCAATCATTGGATGAACATATCGAGATTGAGGAGCATCACAGTGATCAAGAAAGCACTCCGATCGGAAGCATATCATCTTATCACTCAACAGCAACAACTACAACTTATGAAAGTACTCAAGATTTATCCATAATTAAATGATAATAATTGTGTTATTTTATTCATCGATCACATTAATGAACATGAAATTACAACTAGTAAGGATATTGATTGCTGCAACTTGATCATGTGTATCACTAATATTATTTAAAATTATCAGCAAAAGATAAAATT